GAAACTCATCCAGTTCCAATCCAACACATTCTATGATCTCAGGTTGCTCCAAACTTCATTCTTGGGTTCTTCCATTCTTTCCATGCCTTGCTGGGATTGGGAATGGAAAGAGCTTCCAGGCAGCTCCATGGATGGAAAGGTTGTTTTGGATATCCTACATGGAATATTTGGGTTGGAAGTTCCTGGAAACTCATCCGGTTCTGACCCCAACACTTTCCACCATCTCAGGTTGCTCCAAACTCCATTCTTGGGTTCTTCCATTCTTTCCATGCCCTGCTGGGATTGGGAATGGAAAGAGCTTCCAGGCAGCTCCATAGATGGAAAGGTTGTTTTGGATGTCCACCATGGAATATTTGGGTTGGAAGTTCCTGGAAGCTCATCCGGTTCCAACCCAACACCTTCCACCATCCCACGTCTATTAATTTATTTGGGGCTTTTTATTGATTTATTGGAATAGTCTATTAATTCAACCAATGATTTTTAATAATTTATTGGAGGATTTAACTGATTTATTCAAGGATTTTAATTGATTTATCAGAATATTTTATTTATTTATTTATTTTATTTATCCATGTATTTTGTTAATTCAGTTGAGAATTTTTTTTGAAGCACTCATCCTATCCCTCGCGAGAAATCCACAAGAGCCGAACCAACCCGAAGCCGATCGCTCTTTTCCACGGCAAGAACCACTTTTTAACAACAAATCTCCCAATTTCCCTCATTCCTTGTCCTTCCAGCGCCTCCACACCCAAATCCTGGGCCGAGTTCAGCCACGACAACATTTCCAGGGCGGAGCAGGAGAAGCTGGCGTCGGTGCAGCTGCGCTCGCTGATCAACAGCGTCATCCGCGACGCGTCCGAGGACCTGCGCGTGCAGCGCGCCGCCACCGCCGAGGCCTTCAGCGCGCGCTGCAGGGAGCTGGACGAGGCCAAGCTGCGCCTGGAGCAGCGCCTGGGGCAGGTCTGGCTCCTTCTGTGGGTCCTGGCGGGTCCCCCTGCCGGGAAAAAACGGGTTCATCGTGCCAGGGG